TGCATAGCATTACACCCACACTCCACCCTTGAATGTGTAATAAAATATCTGCCTAATAAACATGTAATAAAATATCACACCTCTCATTGACACGATCTGAAAAATCTTTCTCTGCAATGGGTGTAAGGGAACCTGTGAGGCCATTCTTGGCTTAGGGTGAGTTGAGTTCCTTATCTCAGCTTCAAGAACCTCCTCTGATCCTGTCAGGTTTCAGGAGTCCATGGAGAGAATGAGGTGTCTACCAGCCCACATGCAATGAAGCTCTTAGTGGCTGGGAAGGGCTTGTGAGTACATATTTTTTTAAGTCTCAGGACTGAATACAGCCTTGCAGCAGAAAACATATGATTTACCAACAAGACCTGTGAGAAAACTTGAACAAGGCACTGTCCACAGACAGTATCAAAATGTTTCAGGTTGGTGAGAATAGAGAGGAATTATATCCGGCCCAGAAAGAAGTTTCTCCAATCCATGCAATTCAACTGGGTGAAAAATTTTTAACATGTTTTCTTTTTTCACTTTGTCTCTTTTTCCTTACTTTTTTCTAATTTTGCTTGTTTTTAATGCTTTTATTCAATTTTTATCTCTTACTGTCTTCTCCACTTCATCTTTATCTTGCTTCTTTTTTCTTTTCCATACCCATTTTCCTTTATAAAATTATTTTATTAATTGTAACTGTAATCTCTATTTTATATTATTTTAATGCTTTCATTTCTATTGTTGATGGTGGTGTGTGTATTGGTTTTAATTGGGTTCTATTATATTTGTATGTCTGGTTTGATTGTGTACTGGCATTGTTACTGCAGTTTGTTTTCTCTTCGCTGGAGATTAAGCCCTCAAAGGAAGACTCTCTCACACATAAAGAAAGCACAGAGTGTGGGCAGACATAGAGACCCCACCCACCCACCCACCACAGTTATTCGCATCAAAATGAGAAGCAGCATGGAAAAACACAGAGACTGGCAAGAACATCAGCCACACACTAGGGCACCCAGCCAGGATACATAGGATGGACAAGTGGGACTACAGCATGAAATTGTGAGGCACAATAATAACATGACCCAACAGGTGGAAAGATAGGTCATCCAGCATTGTGCTTGAGAACAAGGACACACAGAATAGAAGCAGGCTGGTAGGGCTTCCCCTTTTCTCTTTTTTTCTTCTTTCTGTTTCTGTTTCCTTTTTTCTTATCTTTTTTTCTCTTTTCTAAGTGGCTGGAGAGAGATCCAACCACAGAAAACTAAATCCCATCCCTCAAACCCAGAGACCAAGTTCAAATAATCACTTGCTTACTCTTTTATTCTTTCTCTCCATCCCTGTTCTCTAGTTTCCCAAAGCTTACATGTCATCTTTTGTCCTCTAGCCTGTCTTCTACTTTCCTTTCAGTTAGCTTTGTCTTATCTACTACCTTTCTTAAATTTCTCCACCACAGGGTAAAACCACTCTACCAAGGGGAACCACTTTGCGTAGAAGCTTCCAGTTTATGACCAGTTCTGTAATATAATTGTAGATTTTGTTCCCATGGTTAAAGGTACAAAATTAATAGTTACCATAGTTTGTCATTGTCTAAGCTGTGCTTGATGATATTCTTATTGCTAATTATATTACCTTAGCTAGGGTGTCATTTCTGTTTTAACTGGTTGTTCTCACTTCTGTACCAATGCTGAGAAGTTCTGGGGTAATGACCTTACCACACTCCAACACCACAGAATTGGGAACTGAGCCAAACAGATATCAACATCTCAATCTTAATTAATTGGGAAGGTAGGATCTTGGGACAGTCACAAACCAAGCACCTCCTACACATAGAAGACATCTTCTGATTATCATTATTTGCATATGATTAATCATTATTTGCAGATGACATGATACTCTACATAGACGACCCCAAAAACTCCAGCAAAAGACTTCTAGATTTAATAACCAAATTCAGTAGTGTAGCTGGATACAAAATCAATGCCCAAAAATCAATAGCATTCATATATACAAACAACAAACTCACTGAGAGAGAAATTAGGGAAACCAAGCCCTTCACAATAGCATCCATAAAAATGAAATATGTAGGAAACAGTCTAACAAAGGAAGTAAAAATCTACACATTGAAAATTACAGTACCCTGAAAAAAGAGATCAAAGAGTATATCAGAAAATGGAAATACATTCTTGCTCATGGATAGGAAGAGTCAACATAGTGAAAATGGCCATACCCCCAAAACTGATATACAAATTTAATACAATCCTCATAAAAACACGATTAGCATTCCTCACAGATCTAGAGACAACATTCCTATAATTCATTTGGAAACAAAAGAGATCTAGAACAGCAAAGGTAATCCTTGGCAACAAAGGCAAGGCAGGAAGCATCACCTGACTTGAAATTATACTACAAAGCTACTGTGATAAAAAGCAGCATGGTACTGGCAAAAACACACACCTGAGGATCAATGGGACAAATTAGAAATGCAGACACAACTATAAACACATTCACCCATGTTATCTTTGACAAAGGGAGCAAATATGTTCATTGGAAGAAAGATAGCCTCTTTAATAAATGGCACTGGAAAAACTGGCTCTGTACATGCTGAAAACTAAAACCAGACCCATGTCTAACACCATGCACTAAACTAAAGTCAAAATGGATCAAAAGTCTAAATATTAAAACAGAAACACTAAATCTACTGGAAGACAAAGTAGGTATAAATATTGAAGACACACAGGTAGGCAGAGACTTCATGAACAAAACCCAGACTGCTCGTGAAGTACCTCAAAGAATCAAAAACTGGGATTTCATCTTATTAAAAAGTTTTTGCACATCAAAAGAAATCGCCAACAGAGTGAAAAGATAACCCATAGAATGAGAAAAAAATCTAGCCAGCTGTCCCTCAGACAAATGACTTCTACCTAGAACATATAAAGAATTGAAAGAAGTCAGGCCCCCCCAAATTCAAAGACCCAATACAAAAATGGGCATCTGAGATGAACACACACTTCTCAGATAAAATTATACAACTGGCAAATAAATATATGCAAAACTATTCAACATCATTGGCCTTTCGAGAAACGCAAATTAAAACCACATTGAGATTCCATCTCACCGCAGAAAGAATGGCTATCATCAAAAAATCAACCGATAACAAATGCTGAAGGGGCTGTGGGGAAAAAAGAATCCTTCTCCACTGTTGCTGGGAGTGAAGACGGGTGCAACCACTGTGGAAATCAGTGTGGAGATTCCTCAAAACACTAGGATTAAAGTTCCATTCAACCCAGCTTTTCCCTTTCTGGGTATTTTCCCAGAAGAATTAAAATCATCATAACACAATGATATATGTACACCCATGTTTACAGCAGCACAATTTGTAATAGCTAAATCTTGGAAACAAGCCAGATATCATCAACCAAGGAACGGCTAAAAAAGATGTGGAATTTTTATATAATGCAGTACTACTCAGTTATAAACTAAAGTCAAAATGGATCAAGGCTTTTATAGGTAAATGGATGCAACTCAAGACCATAGTCATAAGTGAAATAAATCAGACTCGCATGTGTAAATATCATATTGCCTCCCTGGTGTAAGAAACTGAAAGAGTAAATAAGATCCAAAATCTACAATAGGTATTGTGAAAGGGAAAGAAACCGCTCAAAGGAATGAACAACTGGGATGGGGGAAAGGAGAAAAGAAGGAAGGGAAAGGAAAAAAATATGCATACATACACACAAAATAGCTAAGATAGTTATACTACAAATTTCTTTTAATTCACTGAAGGGAATGGTTTGTGCTTATACTGTTTGATCAGTCTTGCATGTCTATATCTTATAATCTGGGCAACTACTCTGAAGATAACAATATGCAATGTACTAACCATTGGTACTCTCCTACAATCTTGCTTTGAAATTTTATACCATTGGTTTTATTATTTTTTTTCTTTAAAATAAAAAAGGACATTTGCTAAACTGAATCCTTTTAGTGAGTCATATCCCCTTCAATACATGAGTAGACTGAATCACACATTTAGTGAGAGGGTAAGCAAGATAGAAATTGAAGCTAATCAAGCCTGGAGCCCAGGCTAAATCAAGGCATGTGCAGAAGCTCCTTATTTCACAACAACTGGGAAATGTTATTCTTCAACCTAAATTTCTCAAGTTCCTCTAATTTGAAAAAAAGAGGAAGAATGTCTGTACTTGTCTCTCTCAATGCCTGCCTTTGTGGTGATGATCCAGGGGCTGTTCTGCTTTAGGAGGACATGTTTACTAGCAGATTGCTAGGCCTCCCACACAGACCCTGGGTCTGGGACACATATATCAGTAGCCCTCACACTGTGGCAGGATGAGCAATGAGCCACAGGAAATCTCCCAAATCATCAAGGCTGGAAAAGGTGCTCCTGGCCTGATTCTAATATTACTTACTAAGGTGACTGTAATAGTTGATACATTGTGTCAACTTGAGAACTGAGAAGTTTAGAAGCTTAACTAAGTGACTCAGTGGTGGGGCGGGGGCACCAGGGTCTTCACTTTGTAAACATCTCAAGCTTGTGGCAGAAGAGGGCACAGAGATGCTGTGGGTGGGTAGCCGGCATACAATATAAGGAGAAAAAGAGGCTTGCTTTCCCCCTTTTGTTCTTGCTGCTTTTGCTGTCTTCTACCACCATGGACTGTTGCCCCTGTGCCATGCCACCCTGCCTTGGAGCCAGCTGATTGCAGACTGAAACCTCCACAAACTATGAGCTCAATAAACCTTTCCTTTCTTAATTTTGGGTCTTGGGTATTTTGTCTCAGCAACAAGAGAGAAGTAACTAAGACAGTGGCCTAGGGGGGTCTTACCTATTTTGAGAGCCACAAACTGGTTCCCTAGACCCTGCCTGGATGGTCTACACCCTGGCTCTGCAGACAGGCTCTGGGGAATGGATTACAGAGTAGTGTACATATCTGTATGCTGTACGTGTGTGCTCCTGGGGTTTCACAGCCCTGTCCTGTCCCTTCCTCTTCTCTGGGCACACCCCCTTGAGCTTCATCTGGACGACTTCTTCTTGCAGTGCCCAGCTCAGACTGTTCTCCCTGCTTGCTTCACAGGGCCAGAAAATTTCTCAAGGGCAGCCCTGAGCTGAGTTCTCAGCTCTGAGCCCATCCCCTGCATGGTATCTCTCCTCACTTCAACTCCAGTGAGTGCTGCAGCTCAAGAGTTGATCCCAGAAGACCAGGTCTCAGAATATGGGAGAATCTGAGGAGCACAGAACAGTGAGTGTCACTCATATCCCAACTCCTTATTCTCCCATTCCTCCGTACCCCCACCCCTCCATTTTCCCATTATCGCTTCCCATGAGCATCCTTCTAGCCCAGAGCCTTGCTCCTATCCCTCAGCATCATCTGGCTCCTTTTAGGGTATACCATTCCCCTAAGGGCTCCTCCATCCTCTGGATTTTTCTACCATTTTTCTCTCCCTTACTGCTCCCAATACTAACTATGGGTAGAGAATCCAGGATTTACAAAACTAGGTTCTGAACGCTAACTATGAGTTTACCAGGCCAAGAGAAATGATCTGAGAGTTTTGCACTAGGGGATAATAAGGGCTGAGGCAAAAGGAGATCCCTGTCCTCTGCCTGCCTGATACTTTTCACCTCCCACTCACCCACCACCCCCATGGACATTCCCAAGTCTCCTCTGCCTAGAAGAGGAATAGCCAGCAAAATCCAGCTTCAGCTGGCCTATTACTTAGAACTACTGAAGAAAAACGAGCTGAAAGCATTTCACCTTCAGCTAGGCAACACAGCACATTTTGGGAGCTCTTCCAAGACTACACCAGCCAGTCCAAAGAGAACAAGTGACAAAGTCTCAGTGGCTCAGAATGAGGAGCAGCCGGACTGGGCTCTGGGCCTCTGTTCCTTGGAGAAGACGAACATCAGTCTGTGCACCAGTGACAAGGAAGTACCATACCTGACAGCAGGTAAGTAGACAAAGGCTGCATACATCCCCACAGGGACCCCAGCACCACAAATGAGCCCTCCTGCCAGGCCTTTCTCACCAGTAACTTGAGACTGCTCATTCAAAGGAGCATCTATGCCCTAGACTAGGCTGGAGCTTTGTGGGTTGCTGTGGGGCCCTTGCTGGGACCCAGAGCCCCACATCCTCTTCTAGTCAAGTGCATTTTCAGGCCCCGAGGTGGTCCTCACAATGCCTTGGAGGAAGCACTGCCAAGACTGGAGATAAGAGAGGGTGCCATTAACAAAGGCACTATGAGGGATGTGCATGTTTCAAGCCCAGCTCCCAAGAGGAGAATTTGCTCCACATTGTAGTTATGACCACAGACTTGGGAGCTGGGCAGAGGCAGATCCAAGTCCTTCTCTATCACCCTGAGCAAGTCACTTCACTGCTCTCTATCTGTGTTTCTCCATCTATGAAGTGGGAGAGTAAAATCCTAACTCCTTGAGCTGTGTGAAGGTTAAAAGTGACCATCCATGTTAAATACTTAGCAGTCTGATATACAGTAAATGTTCAATACATATGTGCTCTTGCTATTGCTGCTGTTGATATTATTACTATTCACAGCCCTGGTAGGAAGTAGTTCATAGCCTCAAATAGGAGAACAGAGGCTCAGAAAGTACTGGTAATTTGCTCAGAGAAATAGACATACTTATGTACATTTCCTGGACCCCACATCACGACTTTTTGCCAATGTCATCTGTAAGAGTATCGTTCTCTGGATGTACCTGTGAAGGAGACTGTGGAGTGAGAGTACGTCTTCCTCCTGATCTCTCACAGCCTAGACAAAGGATGTGTTTAATACAAAGAATCCCAGCCTCAGGCCCCTAGCTCCTGATCCTTCCCCTCTGACAAGATCCCAACTTCTCTGTCTCCTTCCCATAGGCCATGATTTCTCATTCCACAGCTCCCCAAGTATACCCAACATGGCATCCCCCAGCTGGCCAACCTCCACAGCAGTGCTGAGGTTCTTGGGTCCTGACTCCTTGGAGAACCCTCTGGACTCTCTGGAGAGAAGAATTTTCACAGGGCTGCCTGACATGTCTGGACACCGCCTGAGAGGTGAGGCTTGCTGACTTGTGCCAAGATGCCTGAATGGGGCTGTAAGCCAGCCAGTGAGTCCCTAAATGTAAGCATATACTTACATGAGCCCTAGGATGAGGGAATGCAGAGGAAAAATAGAGAAGAAAGGATGGGATGTGAGAGAGATAGGGCTAGAAATGACTTTTCAGAGAACTTCCTGTGCCAAAACTACTTCCCTTCCCATTTCACATATGGGAAACTGAGACACATATGTGGGTCTGGCAATAAGTGTTATCCAGCTGGGTTCATGTGTGACATGGTCCTTATCCAGGCAGAGTACACTTATAATTTTGATAAGTGATGAATACTTCTGGGGTCACACTGGTCCAGAAGTTCCAGGAAGGACTCAGTTCTCCAGATGGATGTGAACAAGAGGCTGGACTTATTCCTGAGCCCCAGCCACTTCTCTTTCCTGACTTCCTTTATTTTCTCCTCTGTCATCTCAATCACCCAGACTACAAACTTCAGCCACACCCTTGCCTCTTCCTCTTCTCATTGCCCTTCAAAGTGGCCACATCTCCCCAGTACAGAAATATAAGAGAGACTAGCTCATTTGTCCAAGCTCACATGCACTTACAGGCAGAGCCAGGGCTAAAATCTAGAACACTTCATGGATGGGGAAGTAATTCCCTCTTCTAGCTTGCTGCTGCTTTGTGAGAGTCCCACTCCTGCCTCCCCTCCTCTTTCACTATCTTCTGAGCATGCTGTTACCCTTCTAGTATTATAGCAGTGGTGGCTATAAGCTCAAACTCCATTGTTCTCAAGTGTCACCCTAACTAACTTCACTTCTTGCTTTGTGGTGTGGAGCACATATCTTCAACACTTCTCCCTTTAATGTTTCTCTTCTAAGCTTTCATAAAACTTAGTTTCTACTCCTTGGACCATATCTCACTCCATAGTAAAGAATTTGCACCCCTTTCAACTTCACACAGAAAAAAAATCATTTACAGATGGGTGTGGAGGCACACCTATAATCCCAGGTAGAGGCTGAGACAGGAAGATCACAAGTTCAAGGTCACCTTGAGAAATTTAGTGGGAGCCAACCCTAAAATTTAAAAATAAAACAAAAATTTTAAAGCTGGGAATGTAACTCAGTGGCAAAACACTGACCTAACATGTGTGAGTTCACTCTCCAGGAGCACACACAGAAAACTATCCTCCTTAGAATGCCACAGGAAACTACTTCTTATCACTCAAAATAGGGACCACAGCCACACATGTGATTTGTCAAAATCTTTCTATCTAATGTACACTGCACTCCCACAAAGAAGTTTCAGACCATCTACTAAGAAAACAAAACTACCTCTCTCTTTATGTGACTTTTAAAATAAGATTATTAACAACTATCTCATGGGATTTGGGGGCAGTTCAAAATAAATGTGTCTGAAATAATGGATCTTCTGTAACTAGTCATTTCTTTCCTGTCATTTCCCCTAAGAAAACCATCCTTCACTCTGCTACCAAGCACTTCCAAGTTCTCCAGACCATACGTCTCCAAGTCAGGCATCACCCAATCCTCCTCTAGCTACAGCGGTGCTGGGGAGCTGGAAACCTCCGCTTCACACTGACCCAGAGCCAAGCAATCGTGTACTTGGGACCGAGTACACGATGGATAAAACCACCAGAAATTATTGCACAGGTGAGGCCTTGCTGAGTTTCTGGGGATCTGGGGAAATCCAAAGTCATGACAAAGAGTCAGTGCCCTGTGGGCCGGGTAGGCAGGTTGAGCACAGAGGTAAACTTCAAATGGCTCTATAAAAATTCTGCAATTAGAATCTGTCCATAGGACAAAGATATTGCTTCCAGAAGGTTTCTAGAACTAAAATGCAGGTGCCTTCTCCAGCACAGGAAATGCATCATCTGGTTCAGTGAGCATGGCATCAGGCTAAGGTCAGGAAAGCTGGATTCAAATTCCACAGAGCCACTCACCACCACCTTCCCTGAGGACCTAGAGGAAGTCACATGTCCGCAAGCAATTTCTGGAGATCCCACTCTGTCTCAGGCCCCGTTTCTACTGCATCACTTGCACATTCTACTTAAATTTCACCACCACTCCTTGCGGAAGAGACTGTTATATGCCACCTGATGACAAAGTTGAGGGCCAAAAAGATAAAGTTCACACGTAGCGTAAGAGCTGAAAATCAGCCTGCACTCTCCCCAACATCACAACCCACACCTTTAACCCCTCCATCTGACTCCTCTGTCATCTGGGCAACGAGGAGAGACATACTGAAGCCCCAGGCACACAGGGTTCTGATGTCAAGGTCTTAACCCTGAACTATGCTGCTCCTCAATGCTCGAAGATGCTGCCTTTAAAATCTGAGAGATGCTGGATTAAAAGGGTCCCCTCCAGCCCCAGCTAGGGGTAGATTTGTGAAATTTACAGTCCTAAAATGTGGCTCAGACTCAAAATACGCCTGTCAATTGACATAATTAGTCACACTACTTCTCTTTCACAAAGAAAGAAGGTTGGGAAGAAGAGAGAAAGGGAGGAAAAGAAGATAAATGAGAAGGGTGATAGACATCTTACAGAAACATACAAATGGAATGACAGTCCTGGAAAGTAATAGCTGCTGTGCCTGGTGGCACATGCTTATAATCTCAGCACCTGGGAGGCTGAGGCAGGAGGATTACCATGAATTTGATGCCAGCCTGGGCTACATAGTGAGTGCAGGGCCAGCCTGACCCAATCTCAAAAAACAAAAACAAAAAAAGGAAAAAAGTATGAAAACTATGAAGACAAATTAGTTGCTATAATTAAAGATTCCACTGACTCTGAGAATTCTAGCAAGTAGAGGAAAACAGATGGCTGTCCAGGGCTGGCACCCAGCACATCTAGCAAGCCTCCTGCTGTTCAAGTTTTGCCAACACTGTGTCAGGTGCATACCATTAAAATTGGGATCATGTGAGTTTTTCATGTACCACTTAACCCATATCTTAGTTACTTTTCTTATTGCTGAGACCAAAATACCCTACATCCAAAGTTGAAGGAAGAAAAGTTTTTTTGGCTCATAGTTTGTAGAGGTTTAAATCCATAATTGGTCGGTGCTAAGGAAGGGTGGCACAGCAGAGGGGCATCAAAGAATGGGCAGGCAGAAGGCAAGCTACCAGTGACAATAGCAACTTCTTTCTGTCCTTTTATATTCTGTCGAGGCTATCCACCCTGAGGGTACACCCAGAACTATGCCAAACCAATCGATGGACTAATTTAGTAAACACATATCCTAAATTCCAGCATCACACACTCTAGATCCAGAAAACTCTGAAAAGCCCCATCTATGACTACATGAGGCTATGGGAGGACATCTAGAGATAAGCCATAACAACCCATTTATGCTAAAAGTTGCAATTTTTGAATTTTTGCATGAAATTCATATATGTTACTTAGGAAAATCAGGGAAGAAAATTTTGAAGAAAAAATTTTATTGTGTGCCATTGTTATGTGCCATTCCAAAAATAGAACACTAGGCATAAAATGATTCATTCAAGATAGTAAAAAACAAAATGCTTTTAAATCTGTCTTGCTTCAAGATTTAGAAATGTGTTTGGTCAGAGATTCATCAAAAGTAGAAGGTTTTGGAAAACTTGGCACCTCAGGCAAACAGGGCCTGAATAAGCCAGGCCAAGGCTATAGCCCTAGATGGCTATCCTGCTGCTCTAAGAAGATATTCATTTGGCCACAAATGTTCCCACAGGACACAATAAAACCAGATCTGTAGATTAAATTTCAGAAGTGAAGCCACGCTCAGAAGCCACAATCTCACAAGAGGAATAGGTATAAATTGACCTACACTTCACACTCCATGCAGATCTTCTGAAGCACACCTGCAAAAGTAGGAACCTTGCATTCTGGTTGTGGCACCACACGTGTCCTGGGATGAACTGGCTTCAGCATCCCCAGTTAGTAAGCTGCAGTATATCTAAAATTCACTCATGTGGTTTGATAAAATATATCCCCCAAAATGCTAATGTGTTCAGAGGTGGGACTTTTGGAAAGTGCTTAGATCATAGGGGCCCTAAATGTACTGTTGAAAAGTAGAGCCTTGGAGGAAGTAGGCCGAACATGGTTTAACGTTAAAAGGTATATCTTTGTCCTTGGTCCTTCCTCTCTCTCTGGCTTTCTTGCTCTCTCCTTGCTTCCTGGGTGCCATAAGTAAAGCAGCACTCTTCTGCCATGACACTTGTGCCTCTTGGAGCAATCTGACCATGGACTGAAACGTACGAGGCCATAAGCCAAAAATCTGTACTCCTTTAAGCTGTATATCTTGGCTATTTTGTCCTACCAATGGAAAGTTGACTAAAGCATTCACCTAAGTAGAGAATTAGGGCATTAAAAATATTAGAAAGATGAAAATTGGTTGCAAAGATTGTTCCACTCAAATTTTAATAAAATAGAAGCCTGAGATCTCACCCTGCAGAACAATCCCTCTTGTGAGCCCAAGTAATCACAGTTCACAAAGCATCTTCCTGTGGGTCGCAAACTAGGTTTCCTCAGAAATATACCCTGAGATGGGGCTGGTGTGCAGGTAGTTTACTGGGGAGACTATACCAGGATGTACTGTAGGAGAACAGAAACATAAGGCAGGAGAGGAAGTAGCCCTGCAGTGGTGTATTATGGAGCAGTATAGCTCTGTAAGAAATTCTTCACTTATTGTTATTGCTATAACAGAATAAGTGAGATAGGGTAACTTGAAAAGAATTTTATTTAGCAGACAAATGGAAGTCCAGAATCAGAGAGACACATCTGTACTGCTTCTGGTGAAGACTTTATGGTGTTAAGTGTATGGCAGGAAAAAAGCAGAAGGGAAAAAAATGCTTGCAGCCTAAGGGACAGGGGTCCCAATCCCCACCATAGCTGATCTATTCCCACAAGAAAAGCAGTCATCCATTCATGATGAGTCTGCCCTGTGACCCACTAGACCCCACCTCCAAACACTGCTACCACCAGCAATCTCATTTCAACATGAGTTTGCATGGGGAAAAATGATAGCCAAAGCATAGCGGCTACTGAGGATGTCGGGAGACAATGTAGAATACACCTCTGAGTTGCCTGTCCTGGGGCAGGGGACCCCTACCTATTGTCTGTGGAGGGTGCTTTGTATAATTTCTGGCACACTGCACTTTTGGGCCACAAGAGCCCTTGGACTGACACTCACAGATGCTTCCAGAAGGACATATTTGGCAGGCCCTGCAATGGTGAGATGCTGAAGAGATGCTGTTGTATCTTCCCTGACTCCACAGCCTCCTACAAAGGGGATAACACAATCTCTGATGTACAGTTAAGAAAATTGCGACTCAGTAAATTTATTGGCCCTGGTGATAGGTTTAATGAAGGAAGAGGTTACGCCTGTTTGTTCACTCTTTATTCCCAGCCCCAGATGCAGTGCCTCGCATATAGTAATGTCTTGATGAATGTTTGAAGAATGACGTGGCATATGATGGAGTATGACTTGGTGAAGTTGAGACATGAACTAAAATTTTCTATTCCAAAGCCCATGGTTCCACTGACTGCACTGGCCAAAACATATGACGTCTACAGCCAGTGCAATACGTGACTTGCAGTGAGTGGCTAAATTCTCTTGGTTGTTGAATGAATGAATGAATGAATGGGTGAGTGATTGAAAGAAAGAACAACTCTATTCTATACGTTACAGTTCTATCTTTTTATCCCTTACTTAGAAACTGAAAAAAGATACCAGGACCAGAAGACAGAAAAGTCATGGAAAAATGAAGTTCTGTGCCAAAAATTCACGCAGCTATTACTTTTACAAAAATGTCACCTCAGAGTCCCAGAGCTCGTGGTCAGAGAAAGCTGTCATCATGACACAGTACAAGAGCAAGGACATTTGATTGAGATCCAAGGCTTATTTGGGCTAGGCCCAGGTGCCCAGGAAGAACCTCACATAGTCATACTCTATGGGGCTGCTGGTATTGGGAAATCAACACTGGCCAGACAGGTGAAGGTAGCTTGGGAGCAAGGCCAGCTCTATAGGGACCACTTCCAACACGTCTTCTACTTCAGCTGCAGAGAGCTGGCCAGGTGTAAGGTAATGAGTGTGGCTGAGCTCATTGAAAAAGACTGGAGTGACTCTGCAGCTAACATTGGGCAGATCCTGTCTCGGCCAGAGCATCTCCTCTTCATCTTGGATGGTGTGGATGAGCCAGAATGGGTGCTAGAGGATCTAAATTCTGAGCTCTGCTGGCATTGGAGCCAGCCACTGCCAGTGCCTGCACTGCTGGGCAGTTTGCTGAGGAAAACCATACTTTCTGGGGCTTCCTTTCTGATTACAACTCGGACCACAGCTCTAGAGAAGTTCATCCCTTCTTTGAAGGAGCCACATTGGGTAGAAGTCCTTGGCTTCTCTGAGAGTAGAAGAAAGGAATATTTTTACAAATATTTCACAGATGAAAGGCAAGCAATTAGAGCCTTTAGCTTGGTGGACTCAAACTCAGCCCTCTTGACCCTGTGTCTTGTGCCCTGGGTCTGCCGGCTGGTCTGCACCTGTCTGAAGCAGCAGATGGAGCAGGGGGATGAACACCCACTGACCTCTCAGACCACCACAGCCCTCTGCCTGCACTACCTTTCCCAGGTTCTCTTGACCCAGGACCTGAGGATACCACTCAAGAGCCTCTGCTCTCTAGCTGCTGAGGGCATCTGGCAAAGAAAGACCCTGTTCAGTGCAGGTGACCTCTGGATGCACGGGTTAGAAAGCAATGTCATCATCACCTTCTTGAAGATGGATGTTCTTCAAGAGCACCCCAGCACTCTGAGCTACAGCTTCACTCACCGGTGCTTCCAGGAGTTCTTTGCAGCAGTGTCCTGTGTCTTAGGGGATGAGGAGCAGAAAAGTGAGCATCCTAGCATCCCCAGAGTCATGGAAAAATTACGGAAAGTATATAGAAGCCATAACCTGTTTGGGGCACCAACCATGTACTTCCTGTTTGGCCTTTTAAGTGAGCAGGGGGCCAGAGGATTGGAGAGCATCTTCACCTGCAGGCTGCCTGCAGAGCAGAGATGGGAGCTGCTGCAATGGGTCCAAGAGGAAGCCCTACCATGGCACCCATACTCTCCGGACATGCTCCACTGTTTTTATGAGATTCAGGATAAGGAGATCCTCACACAGGCCATGGCCCATTTCCAAGGAACAAGGATGTGTGTCCTGACAGACCTGGAGCTCCTGGTGTTCACTTTCTGTGTTAAATTCTGTAGCCATGTGAAGAGGCTTCAACTAAATGAAAGTGAGCTACAGGATCTGGGGTGGAGGCCTCCCAGGGTAGTTCTGTGAGTATCCCAACCCACCCCTCTCTCTGCTTCTGCCTTTCCTACAAGCCCTCATGCCCTGAGCACAGAGACACTTTCACTCAGCCTGGTACCGGGGTTAAAGGATGAAGGTCACCGGAGTCTGCTTCCCAACATCACCACCATCCTCCATCTACCTTTGATCCCCTGCGTGCCCGACCACATGACCGAGCCCTGAGTTATGCTGTTGCCTTTCCTCCTACCTCTGTGACAACCACCCTCCTTCTCTGCTGGACATGTTCCCACCTTCACACTGACCATCACGTTGCCCACACCCTCTCCAAGAATCAGGCAGTCACTTGCCTCTGCTCTTCTCTCTTGATATCCTTTCGGTCTGAGAAACTGCTCCTTCAAGCACCACATCAAAGACTTTAGCCCTGAGATCTTCCCTCATCATCTCCAAATACACGTACCTGAGAGAGAGTTCACTATTTTTTCCTTATTTATTGCATCAATGATTCTACAACAGCCTCTGGCTTTCTACCTGAAACCTACCTCTGAGCATGAAAACATAGCTTTGTCTAACCACCCTCAACACCCAGAAACACTGTGAACTTCTTGCAAGTTCTCTGTTCTTTTCGCAGTTTTTTTTTTGTTTTTTTTTTTGAGATAGGGACTTTTTATGTAACTCACGCTGGCCTTAAACTTACTATGTAGCCCAGGCTGGCCTTAAACTCAGTGATCCTCCTGTCTCAGCCTCCGAAATGCTGGGATTATAGGCATGCACCACTACGCTCAGCTCTCCTTGTTACAATATTGACCATTATCTCTTAGCAAAGTCTATCTCTCCTTTCAGATGATTCATTGTATAAATATTCATGAGGCAGTGACTCAGGACTAGACAAATGGCTCAATAGTAGAGTGCTTACCTAGCTTGTGATAGGTCTTAGGTTTGATTCCCCGCACATACATAAAAAAAGTATTGAATTTATACCTGGTCCTACAAATCACAAATTAAAAAACATAATACTTACCTTAAGGGGCTCACACACTAGGAGAGAGAACCAGTATGCACACAATAATTACATCAGAATAATTCTGCAACAATAAAGGTAAGGGCAAGATACCACAGTGGCCCAATGAAGGGTCTGATCATACAAGTGGACTAGAAAAGGCTTTATTTAATTAGGTCTTCTAGTTTCAGATTCTTAGAGCTTTTTCTTATGATGGAATCCATGTTCACTGCAAAAAGTAAGGATATGTGGATAGGCAAAAAATATTAAAACAGGTAAAAAAGCAAAAAGATCAAACTGAATATCAACCAGAATTCCATTACTCCAAGGTGACCATCAATAAGAATTGAGGCGCATCCTTCTAGTGTTTTTTCTATGCTATTTTCTATGTGAAAATTATGTATTTTCTATGTGAAAAGTATATTTTCCATTTCTATGCAAAAGTGTGTATTTTTTTTCTTATACTCAACTTTATTTTCTTAACAGATCAAGGCTATATTCTTCTGTTATTAAGAAATCTAATACAACACAAACTTAAATGACCACATGATATTCCCTAAGGAGAGAACCATGCCTGATTTGACCATTTCCCTATTGACCATTTTAGATTGTTTTTAGCTGCTCATGGCTGTAAACATGATAGTTGGCCTTGGGGACCTGGTTACAGGTGTTGCAAGTTGCAGGGACCTAACATGGGACCTTCGGAAGTGTCCTGAGCAGGTACAGAGGCAGAAGCCAGATGGAGACCAGAAGAAGCAGGGACACCAGAGTGGCAAGGCACTTTGGAATGGATGGTGGCAAATGAAGCCCAGAGCGGACCTGGTGGGAAAGTCAGGCGCTTTAGCAAATGGGGAGGACAAAAGAGAGGCGCTGGGTCAGCCAGGCAAGGGAGGGAGAACGAGGTGGCTGTAGTGCAACAGCAGGAAAGTCCAGCAAGAAATGGTGAAGACGGCCAAGGCTGTGGGCAGGGAAAGGAGCATGAGTCAGAGATGTGAAAGCACTGAAGCTGCTGGGCTGAGCAGCCTTCTAGGTATTTGTCTTATAATTAAGTCTTGCACATTTTGAGTGATAAATTTTTCATTTTTTTTTTTAGTGTATATAAATACTACACATGCCTCCAAAAACCATCTTTGGGCAGCTTAATTATTGGACTTCTTTTGCATTTGTTTAGTTTGATGACATTTGAATGATACATTTTTTTTAACTTTTTGTTTCAGTCAGTATTGGCCACCTTTTTTGTGATTCGTGTGTGTATTTGTATTTCTGAAGGTGTTAAAAGTGCAGTAGGACTTTGGGAGACCCTGCAACACCTTGTACTCCTCACAGAGCCTCTGTGGCAGTTATTGCTGTCCTGATATTGCAGCTCAGAAGACTAAGTGAGGCACAAGGAAAGTGGACTCCAGTGCAGGCAGCTAGCTCAGGGCCTCTGCTCCTTGCCTCTGCATAGCTCTGCATACACAAGGGGGAATGAGTAAAGGGTGGGATACATTGGGATGCACTAGGTAAAAGAGCTACTGGGGTGTTGAAGTAGAGATGTCCAGTCTGAAGCTTGGAAGAGAGTTTCAGTAGTGGAAACCTAGAACCAGGAGAGACACTAAATTAGTGTCTGAAAATGGAGAAATTAAATGGGTGAACATCACACAGGGCTGAGTCTACTCCAGCACTCTCATTCCAAGCTCATCATCCTTCCCATCCTGGCTGCAAAAACATTTCCCCTTCCCACCTCTCTCCTATGGACCATCTCTATGATCTCGCTATTCCTGGAAGGAGAGAGATTCATGCATGCCAATATGGACGGCAGTATTTATGGTCATATCCAACATTCCATTACAGACATATTCCATTCCAACATATTCCATTACAAAATCATCTTCAAACCACCCTTTCTGGGCTCTATTCCTGCCATCCATCTCCTGCTTTCTCTTTTGGTCTCTTGTCTTGGTTACTTTTCTCTCCTTGCTGAGACAAAACACCTGATACCCAAAATTAAGGAAGGAAGGAAAGGTTTATTTAGCTCACAGTTTGTGGAGGTTTCAGTCCATACTTGGCTGGCTCCAAGGTAGAGTGGCACATGGCAGAGGGCAACTGTTCATGGCAGCGGAAAACAGCCAAAGCAGCAACAGCAAAAGGGAGGAGTGGCAGCAAGCAGCCCCTTTCGCTCCCTTACATTGGTATGCAAACTACTTGCCCCAGGGTGGGGTAGCACTCACACCCATGAAACAATCATAAACTCTAAAACTCTACCCCATGACTGCATGTGGCTTTGGGGGAACACCCAGACACAAACCATAACACCTCTGAAACCCTAAAATTCTGTGCCAAAGGAAGATGGGTGTATCTGCATCAAAGAGAGAAAGTCTGTCAAATTACCAAGCACCTTGGGCACTGCCAGTAGAAAAAGATGCTATCTGCCCATACGCTTGAGGAATTCCCAGACTAAGGCAGAAATGGACACAGAAAATGAATACATCACCACGTTCTGCCAGGGGCTGTAGAGAAGAGGAGACCAGAGGATATGTCTCTTTTTCAGGTCCACGTGGAAACCACTAACAAATGGTAGTTGGAAGGTCCTCTTCTCCAGCCTCAGGGACACCGGAAGCCTGAAGGAGCTGGACCTGAGTGGAAATTCACTGAGTCTCTCTGCCATGCAGAATCTTTGTGAGTCCCTGAAACACCCTCACTGCCACCTAGAGACCCTGCGGTGAGTTTGACCCAGGTTCTCCTCCTGAGCAAGCTGGGTGGAAAAACAAAGGCAGAAGCTGAGTCTAGGATGAGGGATAGGTCTTGGCATTTATCAGATATCCATGGATTCCATCTCTGACCATGCATTGTGACAGACCAAGGGCTGCTATGAGAAACAGACACAGGCAACATTCTGTTGGGGACAGACTGACACTGATCAAGGAACTATATCATCACATGAGTAACAACAGGCCCAGACAATGGTGCCAGTGGAGAAAATTTCCTTTAGCAAGTGGCTTGAAGGAAATCTAAAGAATAGAGAAGATATGGCCAAGAGAATCAGGAAGGGAGGAAGTGTAACACAGGGGGGATAACATTTCCCATTTTCTCCCCTTCCTTTCCTTCCTAACCACCATTTTATTCTCTGTTTCTATGTTCTTGACATTTTTTTCAGCTTTCACATACAAGTAAGATCATGCAATATTTTTCTGTGTTTGGTTTATTTCATGTTAGGATTTCTCAAACTATATTTAATAGCTGAAATCAAGAATTCTCAGGCTCTTAGTTTAGGGAGTACATAAAATTGAGCACATTATACAGACAAAGGAGAATTTACAAGAGAGGGCAGTGGAGATCTCAAAGAGCCAGAAAGAGCAAGGTCAGTGGAGGGGAAAGAAGACACGGAATCAAGACACCTGAGGAAAAGCCTGTCCCCCTCTGGAATGGAGGGCCAGAGAAGGACTATGAAAACATGGCAGCTGTGAAACAGAGGCTGAGAGACATTGAAGGCTTCAAGTCCCAAGCAGCAGCATCCTTTAAGCACATCTTCCATGCACTGTCCTAAGTACATAGCACACATTACCTCTACTGATCATTGCAAATGTCTTGCACAATAGGCTTGGTAAATCCATGTTATAGGAAACTAATGACACTTAATAATGAGGAAACTTGCCTATACTCATCAAATAAGAATTGACAGGCAAGACCTGAACCCATGTCCGTCTGGCTCCAGAGTGCTTACCCATCCCACTCCACCACCCTCACTCAGATGTCTAAGTCTCAGGCTAGACGTCTTCAGTGGGGTGGGTAGAAGCTGAGATTTGCAGAAGGATGTTCACCCAGCACATCTTGCAATAGTGAGTCTTTGGGGATGAATAAAACCTCAAAATTAGCTGTATCCTCAAACTTTATTTTTTTGCAAGATGATTAAACTAAAATTGTGCTATACTTTCATATGTGTCTTGCCATCCAGGAGCATTCCCTCCATCCCCACCTTAGTGATCCACTCAGTCCAGACACAGCCAGTCCTGTCTTTTAGTCAAGACTTAGAAGCACTAAGTGATATACTAGCAGCTTGGTGTGCAGATGAGGTCCTGAGTATTCTTCTGGTAGCTGAGCAGACCCAGTTGTGGAGGGGAAGAGTAGTGAAAGCTGGACTGGGACCACAGAGCAGAAGACCCTAGACACCATTCCCCAGGAAAGCTGTGTATCTACAGCATGGAGCACATGCACACCCCTTGTCTTGCATAAGTAGTAAGACACCACAAAGATTATCATGTCCCCTGCTTTATCATTTAAAATAGATCTTGACATGTTCTAACATCAGTACATACAAAGTTGCTTTGTACTTTTTAACAACAGTCTAGAATTTCACTGCATTCACTTACCCCATCACCCTTTTTTCAAACAATATCTTACTATTGTAGTTCAGCCTGGCCTTGAACTATGTACCCAAACTGGCCTCAAACTCATGGCACTCCTCTTGCCTCAGCCTCCCAAGTGCTAGAATTACAGATGTGGGCCACCATGCCCAGCATTGCCATGTTTTTTAAGCACTCCCTTATTATAGGCTTCTGATTTCTCTTCAGTCTTTGCCCCAGTAAATAGAATTGCAGCTGACACACAACCTGTAGCCTAAATTCTGAGAAGTGTTGGATAAAGCTCATTTTAGTTGGTACTAATCAAAGGATACAGTGTTTACCAAGATTAAAAGGGCCACAGTAGCTTCATCCCTAAGCAACCCAGGGTTACTCCTTGCTAGTACATCTCCATAGCCACCCAAATTGGAGAGAGTAAAAGGGGAAAGAAGAACTTCATCTGCAAAAAAGGAGTATACCAGCCTGCCCTTGCATCCTTGCTCCTCTTCCCAGATGAGCTGCCCCTTCGCCTCCCTTGTATTCCTGGTCTATGAACAATAAGGACCCAGGCTGCCCTGGACACTGTGGCTCTCAGGCCATCCTCCAGACCCAGCAGCAGCACACCAGTGGGCCAGCACCTCGGTTCTACTGTGATGCAGCTATGGGACACGTGGGATTACTCATCCAGATAAGACAAGGCAGGCTGGAGAGTTTTGCTGTGGCTTAGCACACCATGAAGTGTTTCAGACATGTTCCTGGCCTGTTTCACACATATTTCAGATGTCAGTAAATACTAAGGAGTCCAGGGCAAGTCCTTGGATCCATTTGAACATATCAAACTGCCCTCAGCTTTTGTTCTTATACAGTATTAGAAGCTCATTGGTTTTTTTTCCTGGACTGGTGATGCTCTCACTATTGAACCCACCAGAGCATCCTGTGTCTTCAGAGGCTGAGTATGTGGCAGGGATAAAGTGGTTAACAATTAAACCCAGGTTACTCTGCAAGGTTGATGTGCTGCATGGCCAGAACTTATGTTAATCCTACCAGGGGTGAGACTCGAAACTTGGGGGCTATTTGGCTACAAAAAGGAAAGGTAAGACTTCCTAGTTTGCAGCAAGCTGAGAAAGTGTTTGTCTTCCTCTGTTGTCATCCTTGGATCCCCAAATAGCCAAGCTACTCAAAAAGGAGACCAGACCCCAGTTACCCAGAGGAGTAAGCTCTTGAGACAATGACTGAGGGTCTGTATTCATCTCTCCTGCAGGTTGGTCAGCTGTGGTCTCACAGCCAGCTACTGCCAGGACCTGGTCTCCGTGCTCAGTGCCAGCTGCAGCCTGACTGAGCTGGACCTGCAACAGAATGACCTGGGCAACAATGGTGTGCAGTTGCTCTGTCAGGGGCTCAGGCTCCCCACCTGCCAACTCACACTCCTGTGGTAAGGCCATGGGGATCTCCACTAGGGAGGAGCAGAAGAGCAACAGAAAGTGGTGCCAGGGGATGCATTAGGGAGAGGAAATTGGACTGATAAATGCATTATCAGCCTGGGCTCCTTCTCAACTCTGCCACATACTCACACCAGGTGACTTCACCAAGTCTTCTGTGAAACTTGGTTTCCTCAATATGTATTAGGGATACCACATCCACTTCATGCTTTCCAGATTTCTGGGTTCTGAACACCTGGGGATCATAGGGCGATCCCTGAGAACCAGATCTCCTATCCCTTGCAGGCTGGACCACACTCTTCTGAGTGAGGAGGTGAAGGAGGAGCTGAGGGTCCTGAAAGAAGAGAAACCTCAGCTGCTCATCTGCAGCAGATGGTAAGGGTTGGCTATAGGATTGTCTGGGCAACCAAAGCCAAGGGCTGAATCACTGTGGATGGTCCAGAGGGAAGTGATGGGAAGGGAGTCTTGGGGCTGTGGGAGAGACAAACAGAGCCAGGAGGAAACCAAGAACCACAGTATGTGAAATGTCTGTTTTATTTTGCTTTGCTTTGTGTTTTGGTTATTTGGAGAACACAGAATCACATTACTGGCATGATTAAACCCTTTCATTAGACAAATAAGGAAACAAGAAAGTGAGTGAATGAATCTTGTGGGCCCACCACACTGTGATAACCATTGATCACTAGTACAGTTTCCTTAGACTAAGAGAAGGTTTGGAACAGTGAAAGCAGTGACCACAGAGCAGGGCACAAAGACAAAGACACAGAGCATTTTAGGAAAAGACAAACATCACAGGGGCTGGGGATTTAGCTCAGCGGCACAGCACCTGCCTGGCAAGCACAAAGTTGTGAGTTCAATTCCTGGTAGAGGAAAAAAAACAAAACAAAAAAATAAATAAATAAAGACAAACATCACACTATTTCCCCCTCCACATGCACACACCTGGGCTTATAAGGAAGCCTCAGGGCAGGACAGCCAATCTCTCACCCACTGGGAGGGAGTTGCAGCCCCAAGTGCCCCCATTTGGGCACATATTGGCCCATGGCCATGAAATCTATCTCTGCTCAAGTTCCTGGCTGTTATGCCTCACCTGAAGTGGAAGGGAAAGGCCCCCTAAGCTTAAGAGAAGAAGTCATCCATTCATTAAATATTCCCTGCAGACCTACTGTATGTTGGACATTATTTGAGGATCTTAAATACAACTGAGAATGAGACACAAGCGGCCCACTCATTCCAGAAGGGAGAGAGGCACAAGTTCTCCCACAGGTCCATGTAATTGTACCAAGGGCTGCTGTGCAGGCACTGGTAGGCCTGTATGACTTCATCCAATGGAGCTGATGAAGCTTCATCCAAAGGAGCTCCCAAAGATTCAAAGGGTGAGCTGGGCAATGCGTGTGTGTGTGTGTGTGTGTGTGTGTGTGTGTGTGTGTGTGTTTCCTGGATAGCAATATTCAGGCAGAGATGTGTGAGCAAATGAAAATCTCTATGTATAGGAAGCCACGTGTGATGATCCCTTCTGAGGGCAGGGATGGAGGAAAGATGGGTAATAGCACATCCTCACTCAAGCGGCAGAGACCACAGTCAGGTATTTGAAGGGGCCAGGTTGGTGTGGCCACAGGGAGGGGAAGCTCTGGGAGGTCGCCCCATCAATCCCCTGTCCCAGAGATGAGACAGGAAGGTAAACCACCTAGAAGGGCCCTGCCCCATGCAAGCTCTTCAGTTCCTAGACCTCAGCTCTCCCAGAGTTACAGGGTGATCTGCCCCTCTACAATATCCATGGCAAGCATCAGAGTCTGCACCAGGCCCCAGCCTCCCATTCTGGACTGCTATGGCCTGAGAATCCTACCTGTATTGTTCGGCTTTCCATTGCTGGACAAAATACCTAACACCCACAACTTAAAGAAGATGTGTACTTGGTTCATGGTTTCAGAAGTTTCAGTTCATGGTTGGCTGGATCCAAGGAAGAAACATCAGGGCATAATGGTGTGGCACATCAGAGCTGCTTAAATCACAGAAACCTGAACACAGATCACAGGGCAAGAGCACCACTGAGAGATATAATCAAAAAGGCACACTCCCAGTGACTACTCCTAACTGCATATTCAGCTGATGAGTAGATTTTTGACATGGTCTAGTCACTGCTCCTCGAGTTTCTTAATCCAGTCAAGTTGACAATTAAGCTTAACCATCGTATCATTCATCCATTAAACTAGGTTTCCTTCTCAAGTTTTTGACTTGGGACATGCTAAGCAGAACAACATTTCTGGACAAGTGGGGAAGAGGAGATGGGCAAAGAATGGGTCAGGGGTTAGTAGGGTGCATGTCCTAGATCACACGAGGTATTCTCGGAGGCAGTGATGGATACAGCTGACAGAGTCCCTTTCATGGCAAGTCATGCCAGCCTCAAGAAAGGCCCTGCTGTAGCACGCTAGGGAGACCAGGCAGGAGAACATAGAGCTGACCACTGCCCTTCTGATTCCAGAGGGAGGCTCCCCAGAGTCACCCCAGATGGCACCCTTCCTTCTACCCTCTCCTTCTCCTCTGGGAGATCAGCACATGAAGCCTCTCAGGACTGAAGATGACTTCCATGGACCAACAGGGCCTGTGCCTATTGAGGTTACTGACAAAGAAAGGAACCAGTACCGGTGAGTGAGGGGCTCCAACTGCCCCAGGCTGGTCTTCCCCACCCTCGTTCCCTCATAGGGTCCCCAGAGACAGCACCACCTCCCTTCTCCACTTGTTCCTCCACTCTCAGGCTATTCAAAATAAGATTGAGGAACTGAGTGTATGCAAAATATTATAGAAACAGATGTTTTACACAAAAATAGAGAGTACAAGGAACCGAGTCCATGTCCTTGCTTCAGCTGTAATGTGGCTACATTCATCTCAACTATTCTATGTCCTCCTACTTTTTATTATTATGTTATTTTAAATCCAACATATCATGTGATTTTTATCTTTAAATACTTCATTATGGATCTCAAAAAAGAAAAAGAACTGTTCTTCCACAACAACCACGCCATTATCACATCTAACGATGCTGACATTGTTTCATGTCATCTAACCTCAATGTCTATACAAATATGCTTAGTTATCAAAAACATGTTCTTGATAGTGATTTGTTCTAAACAAGGATCACTCGCTATATTTGGTGTATGTCTCTTAAACCTCATTTAAAAAGCTTTTAATGTATAGGGCCCTGTTTTATTAATAGCCACATGTGCTAAGTGCCTACCATTAGCAGAGGACCCTCATTCAGATGAATGTGGCAGACCTGCCCACCAAAGGTTTATAGCCTCAGAAGAAATACATGTTTATAACCATAATCATGATTGCTTCTTTGGTGTGCAGTACTGGAAAATGAACCCAGCCTTCAAACTGAGCTACAGCTCTACTGCATTTCTTTATTTTAATTTTTAAACAGAGTCTCTGTAAGTCACTAAGTTGTCCAGGCTGAGCACCAACTTGTTATATCATGCCTAGGTCACTCAGAATCCTGAGATGACAAGCCTGTGCCACCATGCCCAGGTACAACCTCACATATAACATGTTACCACTGGCCAAACTATCTCAGCTGGGCAATAGTGTCACTCCCTATATCCAACTACAGAAATTTGCCTCTGTCCACCCTATCACATACCTTGAAAAGTCACTTATATTTCCAGAAGATACTCTTTTTTCAGATATGGGGGTTATTACTGCTATTTGTACATACATTGCTATTAACTATTGGTAATCGGGCCCTTTAAAAATAAGAACAAAAGCCAGACGTGGTGGCGCATGTCTGTAATTCCAGCACTTGGGAGGCTGAGGCAGGAGGATTGTTGTGAGTTTGAGACCAACCTGGGCTGCAAAGTGAGCTCAAGGCCAGCCTGAACTGCATAGTGAGACCCTGTCTCAAAAAGACCAAAAATATTAAAAATAAGAACACTTGTCCATTTCATCATCATCACTATTGTCATCATAGGAAAAGCTACCTGCTTCTAGGCCTGAGTTAAGCTGTCACCGTTTGGTCACTCATTGCTCACACCCCTATCAAATGGGGACAGTTACTACTCCTATTTACAGATTAGGGAACTAAGAACAGGGAGGTTAAAAGACTTTATCCAGGATTCACAGTCACATAGCAGAGGAGCTAGGACCCAAACCCAAATTATTCTTACTTTGAAGTCATTTTTGTAGCCTCTTCAGTGTATCCACAAGCACGTGCACCGGGTCTGGCATCCAGCAGGTGCTCAGTAAGTTTGCATGGTTCAGTGTCTGCCTCTTTCTTTTCCTCCTAGAGTTCACTTCCCTAAGGCTGGCTCCTACCACTGGCCCAACACAGGTCTTGACCTTGCAGTGAGAAAGGCAGTGACCATCGAGATCAAATTCTGTGCCTGGGACCAGTTTCTAGGCATCAGTGACCTGCAGCATACTTGGATGGTGGCAGGACCTCTCTTTGACATCAAGGCTGAACAGGGAGCTGTGGCTGCTGTGCACCTCCCTCACTTTGTGGCCATCCAAGGTAAACGAGGGAAAGACAGGGAGGAGGGTGCTGGTTAACAATGGGCTGAAAGGGGTATAGGATGAAGGAGGATGGAAGAGAGCAAGATGAGAACGATAAGGAGGTGGAGACTGAGATTGTTCATCACCCCACTCTTCTCTGCATGTATCTTTTTTGGAGCATATGTCTCCCAGTCTTATAATTATTTATATTTATATTGTTATTTATATTTATTATATGCCCTGTGTATCCATGAATGTTTCCCCAAATGGAAAAATATCTCCTTTATAATATCAATATGCATTCAATAAGTACTTTTTTCATAGATTGTATCACTCACCATCTCAGCAAGAAGTACATGATACTCTCAGTTGAGAATTTTGAAGACAGTTTCAAAGATAAAGCCTTACAAAGTCTTACAAAGTAAGGCTACAGAAACTAACAAGGATTATTTGGTACCTCAGATCAGAGTATAGACATGTGTTACCAGATTTCACTGGACAGCTGGAGCCATGGAGAGGAGATTTCTAAGAGAAGACAGTAGTCACAAAGAATCTAGACTGCTATTACCTCCAAAGACTTCCCATAGATAAAGCTATAAGAAATATAAGCTCACTGTCAAAAAGCTAGCAAGGTACCCTGACAGCCAACAGAAACATCAGGCAATAGAATTAGCCCCTTAAATACTTCAGAGAGTGAACTCTTCAAAAATGGAACATAAAATAAGTTTATATAATATTCCCAAATAAATAAGTAGATGTACATTAGCAAGCAACAAGAAACCATTAAAAATAGTCAATTTTTTAAAATGAAATTGACAGTAAGTATGGCAAAAAAATCTTAAAATATTAAGAAATGTGGAAGGCATTGAGAAGAGATCTTATCTACATTTAATTGCAATTCTAAAACAGTATGACAGAGGAAAAATGGAAAAGATATTCAAAGAGATAATTGCCAAGAAATTTCTAAAATCACTGAGAGATATGAGACTTCTCAGGAAGGGAAATCCCAAAAGTCCAAACCAGGAAAGATAGAGAGAAAGAAATGAGAGAAACCAACACTATAGTGAAACTAGAAAATAAGAAAATGGAAGGGAGGGTCTTTACAGCAGCCAAAAAGGAAGATTACCTACCAGGGTCCAGTAGGAAGAAGATGACTGACTTTTGAGCAGCAGCAGAGGAAAGCAGAAGACAATGGAATGATACCTTCAGTGTCTTGAGAAGGTAAATGTCCATCAAGAATTGAAACAAGGAAAAATACTTTGAGGTGGATGATAAGACAGACATTTTAGAACAAACTAAAATAAAGACAGCTTTCCAAAAACACATGGTTACTGATGGAAATTCTACAGGCCATTCCTCAGGGAAATGGAAAATGGCCTTATAAAAAATGTCTAAAGTACAAGATGGAATGCTATCAGGGATACTAATACACATGTAGGAAAATCTAACAAAACAGTGGCCTATTAAGATAATAATGATGCCCCTATGTGGGGATTTAATGGAGATAAAAGTAAATAAATACCAACAGTAATAGCAAATAAGAGTGGTAAAGGATTCTAAGGAATTTGTATACTTCAGAAGGAAAATAGGGGCTGGGGATTTAGCTCAGTGGCAAAAGCGCCTGCCTGGCAAGTGCAAGGTCGTGAGTTCGGTTCCCAGTACCGGAGAAAAAAAAAAAAAAAAAAAAAAAAAAAGGAAAATAAGGCAACCAGACATCCCATCAGGTGCACCAGTTATGTAGTCCATATCAAATTGCTGAAATACATCTGCATTACTCAGTAAATGGAAATTCTCCATTCCTTGAGACCACAAACTACTGAACATCCTTTAGCACTGGAAACAGACATGAGAAATGGGGCTTGGGTGGGATGAGGTATGGATAGGGTTTATGAGTCAGTGTTGTTCTGAACCAGCCCAGGGGAGTCAAGAGGGTCCAAGCATTCCATGTATCGGGACAGGGCCATCTGTAGCCCTGTTGATGGCAGGGGCTATGGCACAGGCCTTCCACTCCAGGCCATGTGGGAAGAGCTGGCATCAGATGAAAACTAGCCCCTGCCAAGTGCCAAGGAAACAGTGTCTATCAATTCAATGAGGAAGAGTTTACCCACATCAGATAATGACATAGGAGCCAGGCAAGGTAGTGCATGCCTGTAATCCCAGCACTTGGGAGATTGAGGCAGGAGGACCACCACAAGTGTAAGACCAACCTCGGCTACTTTGTGAGTTCCAGTCCAATCTGAACTGTGAAACCCTGTCTTAAAAGACAAAAAAAAATATCATGACACAGGCAGTAGCTTAATTTCATTTCTGATAAAATGATGTGATAAAAAAAAATTTTAGCTTTTGGTGGCCAGGGATACATCTCAGTGGCACAGCACCTGCCTGGCAAGTGCAAGGGCTTGAGTTCTATTCCTGGTACCAAAAAAAAAAAAAATTTCAGCTTTTATCAGTTGTAATCACTATCATGATGTGTATAGTTTAGTTGGTAGTAAAAGGCATATACTATTCATCTTTATTTTTATACTGATTAATTCATCTATCAATTCATATTACCACTTTAATAGTTCCATATATTTAGTATCAAGTCAAGGTAAAAGTATTAACTTTAGGCTTACACATTAAACTATTATCAAATCAAATATTATCAATAAAAAGCATAATCATAAGAAGCATAATTTATAAACTAATAGAAAGAAAAAAAAAATGAGGAAAAACAAAAAGCAAAGAATGGCCCAGTATCTAGGAATAGGGAAGTCTCATTTGCTGAGATGACAAAACATCAGTAAACAATTGAACCTGCTCACCAGACAGAAAGCACGGGGTGGAGAAAGAAAGGCCAGTGACTCAGACACTAGGGAATCCTGGGGTCCTGCAGCTGTTCCCAAGGGAAGGTTCCAGAGTAAAGCAGGTTGGCAGAAGGAGGCACAAAGTAGATGTGTAGGTTATAGAGCTCCAGTCGCAAAGGGAGAGAGCAGAAAACACTCAAATATTACCTGAGACAAGCTATTATTCCCCACCTGAAAATCTACAGAGTAGTAACTTGGGCCCATTGGATCTCTGGGTGATCTGTCAAGAAGAAGAGGTTTGGGCCATTGGAGTCAGTGGGTTCAGCCCTGCCATTGCTCTGCCCATTCCCAGCAATAATGAACATCACCTGCCCTCACTCTGCACCAGGGAATTCTAGGCTGGTAGTTGTCTCATGTAGTGAAGGCATGGAGCCAGAGAGCACAGCAGTGTCTTAAGAGCCAGGGTCTGCCTAGTCCCTGCTCCCACCCTCCTCCTCACACCTGACTTGCAGAGGTGAGCAACCTTGCCCCTCCCCACTGTAAAGACATCCCCAGCATGCCTTGCTCAGTGCTGTACCTGCGTCAGGTGGGCCTGGGAAATGGGATTTGACCAAGGAGTTGGTGATCCTCTGAGTGCAAAGGAGTCTAGCCGAGGGCTGACAGATCTGAACACAAATGAATTCACTTAGCTGCTGGTACTACCCTTTGTGGACTCCTGAGACATGACTAATAAAAAGAATGTGAAAAGAATTACCAAGCATTATGTACCAGGCACCAAGCAGGGCAGAGATAAATACAATGGTGCCTCAGTTCATGAACTTAATCCTTTTTTTATTTATATTTTCCCTGTCTTTTTTATTTTAAAGAAAAAAAGATAAAAATAGCAATGAAACAGAGTTTCAAAACAGGTTAGTAGGACAGTTACAACAATTAATGTATTACATACTTTTGTCTTTGTAATAGTTATTCAGAGTACAAGATATAGGCATGATATCTTGTCCAAACAATACTAGCACAAACCCTTCTTTTCAATGAACTAAGAGAAATTAGCTATATAAATATCTTAACTATCCTGCATATACATATATTTCTTTCTTTTTCAGTTTCTCACAGTAGTGGCACAATACGATGTTTACACACATGGGTCTGATTTACTTCCTTTTCCCTTTCTTCCTTTCAGGGAAATACACAATAAGGCTAGCTGTGGAGGAGCATGCCTATAATCTCAGCTACTCAGGAGGCTAAGACAGAAGTGTTACCCAAGGGCTGAGGATTTCTTGGCTCGATACAGATAAAAAACACATATTGGCGAAGTACAACCCCTTTGATGTTAGTAACTCCAAGCTTTGCATTGTAGAGCCTCTCAGTTCTGTTTTACAGCTCTTCGTGTAACCCTGTACCCCGAGTGCTAGCAGGTCCCAGGCTCTCAGCCACCCCTATCAGTTCCTCCACAGCCAGCTTTCGTAGCTCCCTTGGAAGCTTTCTGGAACTCTTCTAGCAGCTTCTGGTAGTTCTTCTGCTCCACTGTGGAGCCCTTTACAAGGCAGCTTCAGGTCTGCCATAACTCTGCTGTTGGCTCTCTGCAGTTCTCTGGAGTTCTTCAACATCCCTCTGACTGCTAAGCACATTTAGGGTGAACAGCCAGTAGTGCTACCAGTTCTTACTTTACTGCAACCAGCTCAGCCTGCTCTGCCCAAGATCAAATCACATAGGCAATAAGACAATAAAAAAAAAAAAAACAGGCTTTCTACACTCAAGAGAGTCCTTTTGGACTGACCTCACTACTTATATAGACAAAGGGCAGGCCAATAGGCAGTCTCTGCATCTTAGTGATTATGTGAGGACCTCAGGAGTGGTGACAAAGAGAGTGAAGTATCTGAAGTTCCTGAGAGTCTTTGTCATCTGACGTGGTGCTGAGTCTTCAGCAGCTGCCATAGCTGAAGTGAAGTTTTCTGGGCACCTGATACAGCCATGGCCAGAGCAGAGATCCCTGAGCAGCCCAGAGGTGGCAAGAACAGCCCCTGCAGCCATGACGACAGCCCACAGCAACTGTGAAAAATATACCATTTGACTGCCCAGCTCCCAGCTATTCTAGAAGGCCAACTTCATTACTGACACAGCTTTGGAAGAGTTTCTAGGAGCCGTAGCAGTGTCGATTTGGGGACTTTGGGGATGTGGGTCCCCAGTGTCTCCCTGTGTAGGAAAGTGAACAACTCACTTAGGCTTAGAAGGA